CCTACAATTTTACTCTGGATTGTCTCATCTGTGGTTAGTGAATCTGATTGGGTCCATTGCCAGGAGCACTGACTGCACAGCAACAGAAACACAATAGTCTCCGGTAGATCTTATTCACTCTTGTAAGGTAGACAGTTTAGGTGGGTATTCTTCCCCACCGCTGCTGGAGTGTCTGCTACGGCTATACGTGCTGCCTTAATGCTATTCCTAGTCTTAGAACTTTATTCAAAGAGAAGGCCCTCGTGTCTCTGAATGCTAATATCACATGATTTCCCATTGCTCATAATCAAAGATAACAGAAGTGACTGGAGAAGAAAAGACTGAGGGGAATTTAATAGCAACCCTTAACTACCTGAAAGGTGGCTGCAAAGAGAATGGAGCTGGACTGTTCTCAGTGGGGGCAGATGACAGGACAAGGAGCAATGGGCTCAAGCTGCAGCAAGGGACATTGAGGTTGGATATTAGGAACAACTCTCACTAGGAGGGTAGTAAAGCACTGAAACAGGTCACCCAGAGAAGTGATGGAGTCTCCATCCTTGGAGGTTTAGAAGACCCGGGTAGACAAAGCCCTGGCTAGGATGATGTAGGTAGAGCAGAGGGTTGGACTAGATGTGACCTCCTGAACTCCCTTCCCATCCTCAGTTCTCCAATTTGATGACTTGTTGCTCCCTGGTTCATCAAAATAATGTGTGGCAGGACAACTTTCTAGCCTTTAACACAATTATTTTCCCATTATTTATTTCACTGCTGCCTGCAAATTTTGAATTCGAGGCACTGGGGTCTTACAGTGACTTGCCTGGACCATGCTATTAGTAGTGCGCACTGTTCATTTTAAAGAGCTTCTTCCCTTGTTCAACTTCTAGATGTGTTTCTTTTTTTTTTTTTTTTTAAATAGACCTTTTTATGAGGCACTGCTCTGTCCTAGGCCAGCTATCCAAATACTTGTCAGCTGTTGCCCCACCTTGTTAAAGCACCTGTTTATTGGCCAATTTAATGGTTCAAATTGCAAAGGTACCAAACTATGGGCTAGGTCAGATGACAAGCGTGTAGCTTTCCCAAGATAAGCTTATATCCCTTTTACCTTGTGTCCTATTCAGCCGTATTTCTCCTCCGGCCCCAGGCACTGGGATGACTTATTTGCTCTAAGAGATGCTCCAGGCCCGCTGCCTGACCTACGCGCTTCCTGGCAACCTTTCAAATGTCTAACCCCTGCTTAGCTGACACAAGGCAGCAGGTTTCCGTTGTCTTGACTGAGGCTTCTCACTGTAATTCTCAGCAACTTATTCATCGTTTTAATGCTCTCTTCAGTGCTCCTGGTCCCCAAGCTGCAGATAATTTGCCAGGGCTCTCCCTCAGTGCAGCTGCTGCCATTTCCCTCTGGTTAGATGGCAAGGCTCCAGCACAAGTCTTCCTGTGATTATCCCCCGAGTGACTCTTTGTTATGCACCATTTTTGCTGTGTTGCTCCTTCTCTTCATTTTCAGAGGGTAACATTTCTACCCTGAATAGCAAGGTCAGATCGGCTCTGTTATCCATCAGGTCCTCTCTCCTCTGAGTTTCTCTGGGAGATTCCTCCCCTCTTTTCTGGTCCCACAATGAGTATAATTAAGTCCTTGATGGTTCCTAGGATTTTTTTTTTTAATCTGCTTGAAATAGGCACTTTTGTGAGTCCTGCTTTAAAAAAAAACAACCACACAGTAGTTGGATTCTGAAATCATCAGCAAATATCAGTAAGTGTTTACAGCTTCTATGCGTTTCCATAATAGTCAAGTATGTTGTTCAAAGTCAGATCTTGCTACTTATCTAGTTCCAGAATTGAACAAACTCCTAGTTTTGGATCAATGCCCGATCACTCAAATCAGGTAACTGTACTTAAGGGCATTAATGACCAGGCATTAGCTGGCACTGCTTATTTATGATCGAGATTTTGCACCTCTCGCCTAATTTAGCAGAGTGCTCTTCAGCAAGAGATTTATGCTGCCAGTTCTTTTGTAATGTCAGAGCTTGGCTTACAAATACCTCCTCTGCTGCAGCGGGCTGGGTGTTTTGTTTGCATTTGATGCTGCACCACATTTAGTTTTATGCTACCTGCTTGTGTTTTTACTATTGCAAGGCATTTCAGTGCAGGTACATTCAGATGGCACGTTCCAATTCAAATAAAAACTGAAGTTTTGGGGGTTTTTTTAACAATTGATTACGAAGGTGGTAGCAACAGATTATTTTGGTGGCTCTCTCTAAAATGTTGCTTGAATGCATCTTATTCTTGGAGAGATGAGTCCCGGCATGGTACTTGAGGCATGTACAAAGCTCAGAGAATCCAAGAATTTTATAGAGGAAAGACTTATTAGATCATTTAGTCCCGTCTCTGACATTTGCTGTAACAAAAATATTCCACTGGCTCTAACTTAAACAGGAAGACTAGTAACTGCGTCCAGAGAGGAGCCTAAATATTGCTTAGACTTACAGAAATGTTGCTGCTCCATATGGCAAGTGCTAACATATGATCTTATATTAAGAAACCTCTCAAATGACAAAAGACGCAATGGATTCAAACCTTACCACAAAAGACAGAGGTAAATCAGGGCTCTTACTGGTACCTGTATAGAGTCAAGCTAGCCTTTTAGCAACCAGTGCCTGGGTTTCCCTTCGAGAAACATTAGTGTAAGGGACTCCCAGCAGGCAAGCTGCCAAGGGGGGATAAATTAAACTAAATAAAAACACGCACCAGTAACAACCCCACAAATGAGGATAATTTAATTACCACACAGGATAGGAGACCTACTTTCCATGACGCTTCCAATGTGACCGGAGATGAGAGAATAGCAACATTACGTGCTGTAGAAAGGAATATTCATTTACTAAAAAGAGGCTTTCTATTAGGGTCTGCATATTAAATAACATCGTTGCTTTCCGTAATCATGTCATAATCTTACCATAAAATTCAATCAAGGCAACAGCTTGTGTGTGTCCAGAAAGCAATAGAACCATATGAGAAATGACTGCAGATGTAACTCTGGAATTTAGTTCAAGCCTCAAAACATAGTTGTTAAGAGGAATACTTAAGCAATAAGGCAGCAGATGCCTTGAAGATTCTGCATGGTAAAGTCTCCCCAGCTTCAGACCAACACAGACAGCCTGCAAACCACACTTAGGTAGCAACGTCCTAGCACTGGATTTTTGGAAGGGGCTATTTCTGCTCCTCCTCTTCCTAAAACAAAACAGCTATTAAACCAGAACAGGATATAATCTCTTCTGGAATCCCTACTCAGCAATGCAATTTTACTGAACTGAATTCAAAATACAACAGCAACTGCAAGGAATAAGATACAAGATGGATTTGGCTTGTTCATTAGTGCTGAAATGCAAGAGAAAGAGCGAGCTAATGTGATGGGCTTCTGAAGAGCTTCATATGCTGTGTAATGTACCCCTGGGGTGCTCATCTGTTATGCGAAAGAAGTGAAAATATTTTTCCCTCTCCCTTTCTCTCTGGTGAAAACACTAAGTGGACAGTATGGGCTCAGCTCTGTTGAATGTAATGGAGTGAGTGCATCCACTCAATTATTTAAAATGCTTGAGTAATTGCAGCCCTGTCAGTTCAGAAAGCCTCTCTTTGCTAAAGCCACCACACACAACCATTTCTATGCAGAGGGTCGTGGCAGCACCAGTTTCTGCTTTATTTACTAATACATTCTATAAATCAAACCCAGTGGGAACGAAAGACAGCATAACCCAAGTCCCCCATGTCCTTCTGTTTAAAAAAAAAAAAAAAAAAAAAGCATTCTTCCTGATCAGTAGAGAAGAGGTGAACCCTTACCAGCCTTTGGGGAGGATGTTGTAATTAAAGCAGTAAGGCAAGATTAATTTGTGGGTTGTGCTGGCTGATACCAGTGTAAGCTCTTGCCAAAAACCCAAGGATTAGGATGGCTGCTACAGGTGCAGGCTGAAGCCAAACACTTAACGGAGAATGGGGTTAAAGGCTGACACCACCCAAAGAGCTATCAGGACAGCGCAGAAAGTTCACCAACCAAGCTTCCATGAGCAGGGCTCTGGCATGCTTGAAAGCTTCCCCGGTCAGGATAGCATTTCTGTGATGGGCAGTGGTGCTAAGACTCATCAGAGCATGCCGACAGAGGAAAGGGACACTTTTCCCCCTTAGGAGCAGAGGATTGCTGCAACCTAGCTCAGGTATGCATGTTCAAAGTCACCAGCTTATTACTCTGCAGCTGCAGAGTCAGTCCTGTAATTGAGGAGCAGAAGGGAGGACCATTCTGCCTCCTTCCTCCTCAATCAGGGGTAGCTGGCCATAAGCCAGGTACCACTACACTGAGTCTCTCTCTCTCTCTACCCCACTCCTTCCCTGCCTGTTATTTAGAATGATGCTCACCTGTCTACTACGCTTTCTAGGATCCAACACTTGATTTTCATACAGAAACACCTACCGGGTCAATTGGTTAACTGCATAGACATGCAAGTGTCACTATAGTCCTCAACATGATATTTATGTAGACGTAATCTCTCATGCTGCAGCATCGCAGGTTCCCTATAGGATGTCTTGTGCTTCCACACAGCTGTAATGTACTCCTTCATTGTGACTGAATCCCTAAACTGAAGGAACTGGCTGTGGAGAGCTGTACTGAGGGACTGGACTTTCACATCCTCCTTTAGACAGTAGTCATCTCACAAAATACTTATGATGGCAACACACCGGTATGATGAACAGCAAAACCTGTCATCTAGGATGTACTGTGCCACCCCAGTCAATTAAGGTAATTTATTTTACCCACAGGAAACAAAAATTGAACAGCAGCATTATTAAAGTAAGGTCCTTAGGACTACAGGAGCAAATGTGTCCACAAGAGAAGTGATAAACACTAAGGAAGCCAGCCCTTTGGTTAAAATTGTAATATCCTGTCCTTGTCTCTGAAGAGTCCCCTCGCACGTCCTTGTGATGCAGAACTCTAGCCACAGACACTTCCACATTTGCATTACTTTCTTGCTCACCGTACTGGATACTTCTCCCCAGGGTCCCTGCCCAAATGGAAAAGCAGTGGCAGAAGGGTGTGTTCCTCTTGAGTATGTGTGGTCACTCCTGAGATGTTCTGTCCAGGACAAAAATCGATGCCCTGAGTTGAAAAAAACAAAATAGGTCAATGAGATGATGGGATGAACGGATGGGTTTGAGCTCATTTATTTAATAAGTGATGGATGCAAACAGTGGACTCTATCAGAGTTTGCATCTGGAGCATGACTTAACACAGGCCTCACATTTCTGCATTATTAAAAATCAAAATATCTCTATAAAATATTCACTGAAATGAAATGGCAAACAAAAGACAACAAGGAGGTCATTTAATCACAACTCTGCACATATAAAGCATCTCCTCTCTCTTTGATTACCAAGGTTCAGAGCTATGCTGACTGGCTGGGGCCGCTGTTTTATAGGAGGGAAAATCCAATAAGATATGAAAGAGCATCATCCCAGGAGGTGACAAGCACCCACAATTCCCCTTGGCTTCAATGGAGGCTGCAAATGCTCAGCATCTGAGTCAGACCCCAAAGACTCATTTCACAGAAGGCAGCAATAAATTGGGTTATTTAAAAGAGTCAGGTGTGTTTGTCTCTGTGATTTACAGCTTCTCAGAGTGCCGGTATTTGGTTGTTAGCCAGGGAATGCTAGGTGGGCTGGATCCTCTGAAGTAGGTCTGGAAAATCCCCAATATCCACCATTAAAATCTGTTGCTGCAAGTCAAGTGTTCCCCAACAGCAGGAGCTGTTGGTGCAGAGGCCATAGTTACTTGGACGCTTCAGTTGTTAGCAGCAGCGGGTTAAGTCCTTAGTCCCCAGCCCAGGGATCCCCAATGCCGTCTGTTCAGAAATCCAGAGCGGTGCACGCCCTGCATCTGCGACTCCCTACGCTTTGCCAGGTTTCGTCTCTCCTAAACTCCAGGCAATTATTAGCCAGATGTCAGCTCTCTAATAACCTAGAGCTTGGCCTAGAGTCTTACGGGCTATTTTAACCCTGGGAATAGCAAAAAATTTTAAAGCGCTAATTTCACCGAAGCAAAAATAAAGCAGGAGGCCCCATGGACTAGCACGACCTAGCACCTAGCGGACTTGTTAAACCTCAGAGTTTTACAATTCAAGCTAACACACTGTGCTATTTACAATCCCTCAAAATGCCAGAGACACAGACAGGGACTCAGAGAAAAGGTAAATGGTAATATTTAAATGGTGGGGGGGGGGGGGGGGGGGGAAAGCAGTTGTGCCATTTGCTTATAAAGCAAACAAACTGAAAGGCTCTCTCCAGATGTGAGCAGCATTTGATTGGCAAACAATTTTCCAAAAATATCCTGCGTGTTTTAATGGACAGCTGGTCAGCGGAGCAGTTAATATTCTGCTTTTCAATAAAGCAAGGAGGTTAGAAGCCCATGAAATCCCATTTATCTGCACAGAGCTATAGATTCCTGAATCAGTCGCTGGAAAAAAAAATAAGAGAGCGGCTTGATAGGTTGTAGCAGGCTACCAATAATGGACTTTAAATGGGTACAAAAATGATTGACCTTTTAACCTTCTGGTAGGATAGACCTCTGAGATTGAATGAGGTTTTAATAGTGGAAAACAGACCTTAAAACAAAAACAGAACAGTTAATGGAAAGGTATCAAAGCCGACATAACATACAAATTATAATTTGGATGCAGATCAAACAAGCTATTTAATTAAGAGTCTGCTAATTGGTGCACTGCTCCGCTAATGCAAATGTTTTAGTTTGAGGGAAGAATTTATTCTCTTGGGCGTTCGCTTCTATGTTGCTCCATATACATTTCACCCTTTGCTTCTCATATAATCCTTGTAACGGGAGCGCCGGAGCACGTTCCCGATTACATCCTGCAGATTCCCGAGAAAGGAGGAAGCTTCAACGTAGGGGTCCCGGCACCCACAGAAGCGGTCTGTCTGGCGGGCCTTGAAAGCCAGGTCCTTGTTCAAACTTTATCTACCTCGGGCGGGCAGACGAAGCAAGAAAAATCCTTTCAAGAAAGGATTCAATGACACTGATAAACAGCAGTTCTAAAACATGGCTCGGACTATTATGAAGCCCTTTAAAGGGCCTTTTCTAAAGCCCTTTAATTTCATCTCCATAAAAAAGGGCTTGTTATTTCATTTTTCTGATTTACAGGGTGATGGTCATAATCGAAGGATGGGAGGGAGGGACTACGCTGGACAGCCTAGGTCCTGTGCGAATACAAGCCCTGATCCTGCGTGGGTGCTAAGATCCACTGGCGCTATACCACGCAGGACCTTACGGGGCTGTGCGGAGATCCCAAATGGCAGATACGCTACTATCCATCAGGACCAGGTTTGTAGTCTCCAATATTACGGAGGCCCTCTGCCCTTAAGAGCTTCCAAACCAGTCTGTACCTTTAAAAAGCCAGCTCTCTGCTTTACTGGGGAACAATAAAAACTAGCATCAGCGTGGAGGGCATATCAAATCCCTGTCTGCAACTCAAGAGCCCTGATCCCACAATCCGACCTGCATATTGATTTCAAGGGCTCGCTTGACTGACCTGGGCACTGCACATAATCATTAAAACCAGGAACTGGCGCGTAACCAGGACGCTGGACACCACGTATCGGAGTATGATACCCAGGAGGATGTCTGAACATACACAGATACCCTGTATAAGATGGAGCGGGTGTCTCGCAGCATTGAGAAAGTTTCCGATGCATCAACAAGAGGGAATGCTAGTCACGCTCCAATGCGCCTCACTCCAAAGTCTTATTAAACGGGTACCTACGAACCTCTTTCTTAACAAAAGGCATCTTGCCGAAACCTGGCATTTGAGACCTCATGGTATGGTTGCCCAAGACGGTAAAGCAGTTTATATTCTGAAGGAGAATAAATTTCCCTGCTTAAATAACCTACCTGTATTCTGTCCCATTTGGTGCTTTGTAAATTCAATGCTGTTTTCAGTTTGTGAAAAGAAAACAGCACAGTGTCCGACACGAATCAACTGAAAGCCCAAGAGTCCTGTCTGGACCGCTTCCCTTTTCTGGAGCTGGGAATTTTAAATCAATTCTGCTTTGGGAAGCATTTCAAGATACAGACAGTCCACCCATCTGAACATCTGGACAATGCCTCTAGCGGCTTGGGAAGCATGCCAATTAGGTTGTGCGCGCTTGCCAGGAGTGGGGTGGAAAGGTGACATGCAGAAAGATGCTAGACCTTCCCCTGTTGGGATGAACAACATCACCCCTGGTGAAGAAAGCATGATAGGCAGTTTGCCTGCCCCTTCCGCCCCTCCCCAAAAGCTGGAGTGGGCTCCAATGGCAAGAAGCATGCAAAGAAAGGAAGGAATCCTTTCTACATACTTAGATGGTCAGAGATCGCCAGCAGAGCATTTGAAACCATGTCATCAGGTGAGGATTGTGTCCCATTCCTCAATAAATAAGGCAATCTATATTTAGGACTCAGAAGCTATACCTGAGGGTTGTGGCAGGCTCGTGTACAAGGCAAGACAGGCCAGGTTGGCAGCTGGAGCAAAACGATGCGGCTCCGTGGACAGTGGCGGAGCTTTGCCAATTTGTGCCAGTCAAGAATCTGGCCCCAATATACCTGGCGTCCCAGAGGCCACCCTGAGCAGCACCACTTAAACAGTAACTTACTTCAGACAGGAGAAGAGCAAAGAATTGATCCAGTCCCCGCCCTCCTCACCGCCAGACGTACTGCATTGTTTCCTTAAACATTTTCTTGGAGAGACTGTTAATCAGGAGGTGCTTTTAACTGGCTATTGATCCTCAGCGCAGCTCTGGTATTTTACTCCCCACGTTATCGGAGGCAAGATGCACGTTGACCAAAAAAAATAAGTGACCTAACGCGGGCTGCTGCTTGCATTTAGGCAGATTCCCTAAGCAAGCGCACAAACCAGCTCAGGAGGATGCGCCTACAGCACTGCTCAGCGTGCGGCGGCCAGCTAAAACAGCATCGGATGACTTGAAAGCAGCAGCCAGAAGCAACTCAGCTGGTAGGGCAGATGCTTTGTGCTGCTGCACAATCTTGTCCGTTGGAAGGGAATTGCCACTGAGCTCCACTGAACTGTACCCCCTCCCGTCTGCTCCAAAAGCAACCGGATGCTTAAGGGGCCAGACCTGCCTGTCCTTTCTTCCCTCCAACCGTATAACTAACCTCAATTTTTTCCCCTTCAGTAAGAACTACTGTTGGTTGCACAGCTTGTGCCTCAATTTCCAGAGCAAATGGACCACAGATGCTATGTCAATATAGACATGAGACAAATGCAGCAGTTTGCCAGGATGGGCTCTTGGCCAAGTGATGGAATCACCACTTGTGTTAATGTAAGCCCTCCGGCAATTCATCACCCTGGCACTCTCCCAGACTGCTCCGACTTTACAAGGGACTGCGGATTACAAGAGCAGCACAGCAAACACCGGACTCCATCTCCTCGTTCCAACGCACAAAACCCAGAGCAGCAACAAGAAAAGTATATTAATAGTAGGGGAGGGAAAAAACCCACTACGTGGTTTGAGCCAGGGATCCCTGGCACTGAAGTGATCTGCTGTTTCGAGTCAATGCCACAGCCCTGGGAAGCAGCAATGCTAAGCCAAAGCCTTCAGATCTGGAAGGCCGAGCGACTGAACACCTGAACATGCTGTTGCTGCTTTCTCTTGGCAGCCGCTTCAGCCCTGTTGAACAAAAATCGCGTCTAATGTGTTAACTGTCTGGAAGGGACCAGAGAAAAGGAGCGAATCAAAAAGTCTCCATCGGCTTTCAAGCTGGAGCGATCGATGGCTAGCTCATATGCTCAGAGGACCACAATCAAATGTCATTATTTGTGAGGTTCTACTTGACTTCACATCCCCCTCGCAGAAAAGGCTTTATCGATCCCTTCATGTTGACGAGAAGGGCAATCAGAACAGGCTGCGGCAAGAATAACCCCTTTGGCATTTTACATTAAAACAATAGGGCCTTCTCTCCCTTGCACACAAATCATTTAAAGGTACAGTAGCCTTTATGAAGAAAAAAAATCAGTGAAGATTACTAACAAGAAACTAAGCTGACAGCAGAGACCGACTTTATCAGCCACTGCCCGAGACACCAAAGGGCCTTTTTAAAAAAATATATATATTTTTAAAGATCCAGTCCAAGCTCCCACGACTGCTGCACAATATTTATGCTGTGTTGGAGCAACCTCAGAAGTAGGCAGACGGGGGAAGCATCAATCTCCCAGTGGCTGCAATTCTGCCTCCTCGCATGGGGTAATTAAACCATGGATTCTTGAAGAATCCTGCTATCCCTAGGAAGGCAACCAAGGAACTCCTCCAAGAAATCCCAGGTTTCCTTGTCATTACCCTCTCGCAGGCCCTAAATAAGGCATACCTGTCCGTCTACCCAAGGGAGGGTTAAATGCAGCTGCCCCCTCCCCTTATTCTGGCCTTCTGCCCAGTTCAAGCCATGGGATTTCTCTCGGCACATTCCCACTGGAGTTAGGGCATGCCGTTCGGAACAGCATCTGAGCTGGATTTAAACGTTTCCAGAAGTGGAGAATTTGCCACAACCCTTGGTAAGTTGTTAGCCATGGTTAAGTAACCTCACTGATAAAACAAAAATCCTCCTAAATTAGTTTAGCTTCAGCTTCCAGCCAGTCTTCACTCCCCTGGCAGCAACACTGATTCTCTAGCCTGACATATCGTATACATAGCTGTTCGTGTCACTACTAGATTTGGCTCGGAGAGCACTATGGCCAAAGAGTAGGACAGGAGAAGGACCTACACTCTGGTACCCATCAGCACAAAGGCAAAGGGCAGCAAGAGCCACATCCTCTAGCAAGTAAAAGGCACGACAGCTCTGTGGGTTTCAGTTGGCTGAGTATCTAGCTCCAAACGAATCCTGCCGGTGGTTCATTGTCACACCACCGAGGCAGAATATGGGCAGATTATCCCCTCTCCACTGCCACTGCTTCTTTTCAAATGCCAGGGGAAAACAACAAAGCTGGTTTCCTATTACATCACGAGCCGATTCTCCAAATGAAGTCTGGGGCTGGGCAATTCTGATAAACTTCTGCTGGTCTGCCTTTTTTAATAAAAGTCTCTCTCCCCAATACAGCTTGCAAGTTAAATACCAAATTGTTTAGAAATTCTATAACATAAGGTCTCGGCAAACTTCCTTTCCACCTCCTCCCTCCTAGTCACCAGCTCCCGAACATTAGACTGTTTGAACTGCATAAACATGAAATCCCTGTAAATCAGAGGCTTTTTATGGTATGAGCATGACAGCTAGGTAAATATTCCTAATGGGAGCATCCAAGGTAGTTTACAGACAAAAGGGATCTGAACCACAGAGCCCTTAGTCTCACTTACTCCTTCCGAGTGCATTTATCTTTCCTTCCCTTATGCTATTTGAGAAAGCAGCCATTCAAAAATGGAAGTTATCTAAATAATCAAGTAGAGAGGGCAGGGGAAAATGGTGCTGCATGCAACACCTTGGTGCTAGGGAAAGCTGATAAATGATTTATGGAAGGAATCTGATTAGAAAATACTGGGTCTGGAAATTAAATAATAAAAAAAAAAACTCCAGCACATTTCATGTTTGTGAGTGATGACATGAATTTTAATCCCAAACCATAATACAGATGATGGAGATCAGTTAGGATCCATTAATAACATGGGAGTTTAACAAGGTAAAGTATTACTGTGAACCTGTGTACTATTGGCGTGGGATCTTTGAAGTGTAAATATTCCCAGTGTCGTATGGGGGAAAAAAGTCTGGTTCTCTGTTATCCTTTCCTGCTGTTTGCTTCCTGGAAGCTAATATATATCTATATCTATATCTATATCTCCATCTCTGTATCTAGATAGATATAGAGATATAGATATATAGTGTTTGCTTCCTATAACACTGCAATCAAGCAAATAGCATCTGACCTGGAAAACTACAGTTCCTCAACCTGCCCCGGTTCTTCTGAACCAAACCTGAAAAGCTTTAAGTGGTCAAAAGGCATGTGTAGGGGCAGATCTGCGAGCACAATAACAGTTTGAAGTGCTCCAATACCAAACCAAAAGAAGGGTTCTGCTGTTTTTAATGGCATTCCCAGGCCTAAAGGACCTAAATAAAAAGAAACCAAGCATGGCTTAAAAATACTGCAAGCTGCCTCTATTAAATAATTTTCCATTCTGACAATTAACTAGGGAATTTCAAGAGCAAACGGAGGTTTGGCTAAAATGTGAAACTACTCTATAAACCCCCCCCCAAAAAAATAACAAGATACTAAATTACCCATAAAATAAATCTCCTGAAAAACCCACAGACAGCTGTCTTGACATATCTGGCCAGCGTCAGACCTGCTTTAGAATGACTGCAGCTCCAATAAAGACAGTGAAATATACCTGCTTGCATGAGGCTGGAGTTTGGCCCCAGAGTGAGTTTCATGTCTAATAAATCTCTGCGACCGGCTCTGATATTTAAGTAACAATCCAGTCAGGAGGTCCTACAATTATAGGAGGCAAAACTTGCTGTATTAGCCAAAGCCCCGGTGGCTTGGCAAGTCAAACTCACCGAACATGTGTTCTGCTTGCAGTGGAGATTTCTAACGTCACACGTATGCATTCATTAAAATCCATTTGCTATGAAACCCACAACCAAAACTGGCCCTCCAGTTCTGCCAGAATAACTCTCACCCCAAAATGAATGTGACCAATGAAGCCAGTGTCTGCAAAGAGGGACCTGGACAGCATGTATAAAAGATGAGCCCACAAAAAAAAAAAAAAAAAAAAAATCAGAACTATAAAAATATTGTTCCTCTCAATGTCTTCTTGTCGCTAAAATCTTACTAGGGTTGTAATTAAGGCCTGGAGGACGTTAAAGAAGAATCGGAAGAAATTTTAGTCCCAGCTTCCCCTCTGCATGTTGTTAATGGCTAGTTTGTCCACTAATGTGCTCCAATTTTACCCACATCAACCACATGTGATACAAGCTGCAGGAAAGCAAGTGAATTTTTAATCATCTCTGATGTACAGTATAATTGCTGACTTTTATCAGCCAGTAGTTAAACAAAGACTTAGAAAGAAAGAAATATTCCTTAATTGTATAACTGCCACTGCTCACAGTGGGAAAGTCTTTGAAATGAGTAACTAGTCCTCATTATCAGAGCTATACACATATTTAGACACGTACAAATAGGTTTAGATCAATGTGGTTATTTTTCCCCCCCAAAACCAGGTATGCAAGTGTATGTATGCGCTTGTATTACAACAGAGAGCAATTATTCATACCTGACATTATCTCCTGTACATATGAAAAGTGCTTGCCTCTGAGCATTGTGTATACAATACATACACTCTCTCTTCCAGGGTCCCCATGCAGAGGGAAAAAAAAATCTTCCACGCTCCATCTGTATCACTTGTGAGATACAAGCTTTCCTCTCACACTTGTGTAGACAAGCCCATTATATCGTCCCCTTCATGCAGCGATAACATCGGCCAAAGTGCAATGCACCTTTAGAGCCCAGCGTCCCTTTCCCTTGGTAAGTACGCTTGGCACTGCCACTACAAATCCTAGAGCAACATCAACTCCTTGACCCTCACAGGACTTGTGCGCGCGCACACACACACACACACACACAGTAAAAAGACTACCTTAGAGATGACATTTCCGCCAGACACCCCAAGTAGAGAAATTATGCACTTTCACATCCACAAATGTCAATGGCCCTCACTCCTGCACCTGTGATGCCTGAAGGACCTACAATGTGCACAAAAAAAACCCAACAACAATCTTCCAAACAGTCACCCTAGCAGCCTGCTGTCAAAATCGCTGGGAGCTGTGCCACAATATATTTACTTCACTTGTAAGGGTAGAACCAGCATGGGACATTTGTGATCCTGGCAGCTGTGAAATGCCCTGGAGTTGAGTACCCAAGTTTAGAACAAGGAGGACACAAAAGAAGCAATACAGCAACTGAGCGTGGCTTAGAACAGAAAAATAAGCAGGCAGGAAGCACGAAGGCACCACATTTCTAGCAAAGCCAATGTAATCGTTCTTAGAGAAAGAGTGGTCGTCTTTCACCTAGTTCAGCTCCTGACCACTGTTTCCTTTTCTCTCAATGCATCGCCTAGAAAAACCATCTCATGGCATTTAGACAGTAAAGGGCACTAGGTTTCCCACATTATGCACCGAGATCCATCCCATCAACTTAATGCAACTCTTCAAATGGTGCAAACAAACTAGAAGAATGGTCAGACTTCATTAGGAAAAGCTGCTTAACAGTAAGGCGTACCGAGTACATTTATATATATATTAAAACAAATATTCATAATATATATCAAGACAAAAAGCCAACCCCCCGCCACGCCATAAGTCTCTTATCATCACCTTGGCCTGGCACTGACTTTTATATAGAGGTGCTGAAATACCAACCTCCTGCCTTTATGCTACAGACTCTACAGTTCTTACACATCACTGCCTCAAAGAAACAGCTAGTTAAAACAGTGTGCAGTGATGCACCGGGATTTTAAATGCCTCCTTAACAGGGTTATTACCCCAGGTGAGAGACACCTGGATGTGCCTGGTAATGGGGAAAACGGACTCAACTGGGGGGTTGGTTTCTGTTACCTTACTGTACTCCTCCCAGGAGTTGCTCCAAGTCCAGTAGTGAGCCTTGTAAAGCCCAACTCTTACTGCCATCATCTCGTTGCCACGGTAATAGAATATCGGCCTGACGGGGAAGCAAAGGGAGAGGGGGAGAAGTACAGCTGCATGAGAAATGCGATGTGCCCAAACAAGCGCTTCGGCAGGCGCACTGATAAGGGAGACAAACACTTTAATGGAGTCTGACTTCCGATCCAGCTATCAGTCAGGAACAGGCTGCCTTCTAATCGTCTCCACTGCAAGGTTTTCAATTAACATTTTTTAAAGTGTTCATCAACTTGAGAGCTCACACTGCGCACGAACGAAACATTATACAACTCGGCTGCCAGCGATTGTTAATCCTTGAACTATCAGACCCTGTAATTTCCTATAGAGCTTGACGATTTAAACACCAAATGTCTCAGAAGAGAGTGTGTGCACGCGCGTGTGATGGGGACTCACAGGCTGCGCGATGCTTGGTCTCCTGTTTGTGGCTGGTGGCACAGCGCAACAGCAGGAGGCTGCGAGCTGTTACTGTCTCACAGGTGGGCTGGAGAGAGGTGGCAGACAGGGGATGTCCTCTCAGGTGCCACAGTGCTCTGCAGTGCTATCACAGGAGGCTTCAGTTGAAAAATACCCTATGCCCACCCATTTCCTCCTCAAAAAGCCTCGCCAAGTTGGCTGAAGGCAGCCCAGAACACCACTTTTTTCCCCACAGGTCCACTGCTCTCACACATCTGCTAAGCAGAGTCCATCCTCAGTGCCCAAAGCAATCCCCTCCTCCCCCTAGGTTTCACTGCCAAAGAACTCTTATTCTTGGCACAAAAGGCAAGGCAGGCCCATGACATTTTGTTACTGAGCTGTACTGTCTACAGGAGGCAGGACTGATTGCTGGCAGTGTTTCTCACCCAAGGACCTCAGACTCAGTCAGCCCTTCCCAGCTGTTTAATGCTGGTAATACAATACAGTCAGAAGCGTGGTTCTCATTTTTAAGGTGTGTTGCTTTATCTTAAACTCAGAATCCCTAGCCAGCAAGAACCGTTCAGCCGCAGGGTGCCACCATGAAGAATATTGCTTAAATGGAAGGGCAAGGTTAAAAAAAAACAACAACCCTCTCAACCTGAAGCATGGGAGTGGTTGTGGATCCCTTCTGTTTCTAGGCTAAAGCGCGGTCTCCCTCGCAGGCACCTTACACAATGAGCCTTCTGCCCTGTGCAACTACAACTTGCTTATGAATGAAGGAAGCAATGTTGCACATCAGGGAAGGTCCAGGCCTGCATTCCTGACATACCTAAACTTCCCCTGGGACCTAGAGAGGTTTAAAGAACATAGATCTGGGCTGAAAAACATTCAGAGCAGTGAAGTTAAAACAGAACAACCAGATCTGTCCTCCCTCACTCTCAACACTCATGTTTTGAGAAGCTGTTACGTGCTTTGGTTTAGGAAGAAGCAAGTCCTTTTTTCTTCAAGCAAAAATATTTGCTATCCTTCTTCCACCTCTGTTGTTCCTGCTTTCTTCCCTAAAAGGAATGCTAAATCCTAACCCATTAAAAAAATAACACAAATGGAATTTTTGCCTTTGGAAGATTTGGTTTTCCAATTAAATCTGGGGACAGAGATGTTTATTGTGTGCACTGAAAAAGGCAGTTATTACCTTATAATCTGTGTTACAATAAGGTGTTTAAACCAATTAAAAAATAAAATCTTCAACAGACTTCAATTACTGCTGGTAGCAACATTTTATAGCCGGCCTACACCTAGCAATATCCTAGACCGGCCGGCGGCTGAACTTCTGGTACTCTGTGCAGGGGCTTTCTGCTTTAGTGGGCACACAATTTGCTTTACTGAACAATGGCTCAAGTCCAACATGTAAGGAGAACCCTGAGAAGCATCTCTGCCTTTTCTATGCGGCCTCTGCCCTCCCTGCTCTGATCCATCAGGTCTTGTCATTAAAATTACAGCTGAGCCCCAGGGAGCGAGTCAAAAATGCTCACTACTACACTTTAATACCACACAACTAGGACCTACCCCCAGCTGGTCACCTCCCAGGTCTCCAACTGAAGTCTAAAGTTGAGGTTCAACCCTACAAAAGGGTGCAGACGCACAGATCTTTAGGTGCACATGAAATGCCAGCCAAGTTCCTCTCCAGGATCAAAGCCTTCAATTGTAGGCTCTTTCACTTCTGGCTGTGCTCCATGAAGGGCTCGGTACACTCTTGGATGCGACAGTAATAAAATACTACCGCATCCTTTCCCCCAGGTTAGAGTTCATAGGATTTACCCTTACTGCAAGCTTATGCGCCTCCAGAGATCCATGCTAACCCCCATGACACTTGCATCTACCCGTGAAATCCATTACAAGGCAATATGTCAAGTGTCAGGAAATCCCACTTGGCTAGCTCCAGCAGAGAATTGAGAGAGAAAGGAAATCGTTGCTGCTCACTCCGATTCACCCACAATGCACTGCTCCCATTCTAAAAATAATGGGAGGAAGTTATGAAACAAACAAACAAGTTCCGCGCCCGTCCAACAACCCAAGAGCGGCAGACGGGAGCCGCGAGCTCTGTGCTTCTAACTAACCTGTCAATTAGCTTGCCCTGCAGGACAGCAGGTAGAAGGTCAACGCCGTCAATCTGTCTGTCATTGGGAAGCTGCAATCCTGCCAGTGAGAGGCTGGTGGTGAAGAGATCCATCACGCTGCCCAGCTGATGACTCACCTGAAAGCAATGAGACAACAGAAGAGGCATTTGCAAAGACCCTTCACGCAAACTTGAGCCTAGGGTCTCAATTCTTGTTTCTGTTCCTTTTTGAACGCCACCTTTCCACACGCCATGCTTGGAGCACAGTCCTGCTCCCAAGGAAGTCGTTTGCAAAGCTGCTTGGGGCTGAAACAGGCCCTTGCTCTTTTCATGGGATTTTTTCCTACGGATCTCGCTCTCTCTGTTAAACTTCTCCTTTGATTTCTTAGATCGTTGAGAAGTCATGCTGTAAGTGACCTCAAGCGATCATCTAGTCCAGTGGCTTTCAACCCACAGTCTGCAGACCCCTGGGGGTCCACAGACTACATCTAAAGGGTCTGTGAAAGATGCCTGTGATCAATCAAAAGTATGCGAATAGCTACACTTACCATTCAAAGAGGTCTGCACCTCTATTCAAACTTTTTTAGGGGTCCACAAGTGAAAAAAAGGTTAAAAACCACTGATCTAGTCCAACCGGGGATCAAATCTGCAACGCTGGTGTTGATTCCCTTTCCCCCACATTTCACCCAATATCCACGCACACAATTTGGAGAGGCCCACTGCCCTACCCCATTTGCTTAGGCAAACGATGATTCATTTTCAGACTGAATCAGCCTGAAAACATCCAAGGACTGTTGATCTGGGGTATTTTTAACGTATATTTTATTAGTGGAGAAATGTTTTTGGCTCTGGCAGCCTGTTGTAGGTTTTCTACTTTAACTGGAAGCTATATTCAAGATCTCTCTCATTTATTTTTTTATTTTTTTTAAAAAAGGAAACCAGCTCATCCTATACGATCTGTGCGCTGACGGGTTTCCTTCCAACTGATTTCTCCCCCACAAGCCATTTGATCATTCTGGGCCTTGCTACTGCATTCAGAGATGATCACGACCCTCGGGACATGGAATTAACCAACGTTACGCAAACAGATATCTTCAGTCAAGTGAAAAGTGAGCAAACGCACACTCGGCTCTAAGATGCGTCAGTACCAGATGGGACACAGAAGAACCTCTTCATCCATGCTGCAAGTTCTAAGATGAGGACTCATCTGGTACAATGCAGCACACTTATCAAGTGGAGAAAAATGCTGCCTTTTCCACTCTAGGCAGATTTACAAGTTCTACCAATATGCCAGGGAAATACTGATACACCGGTTACAATGCTATGACTGGGGACCTACTGACATCATGGCGAGACCATGGGTTTTTCATGGCCCAAAGAGCTGATTTTGTGGGCATTTCATGACGATTAGTGGAGGGCACATCACTCAGTCTACCTCACTACTGGTTTGGGTTTTTTTGGTTCATTTCCCAGGGAAATCACAGCCAATGCATGATTTTCCGGCAATCACAGACAATGCTGTTTTTCACAAAATCTCCAAAACCACGATCGAGGCAGGTCCCTACCTACAACCATCCCTCCCTAAATCTTGCTTTATTCTTGAGTATTTCTGCTATTAACTCACAGAAGCCCTGTTATAGAGGTGATGCAAAAATGCTTATATCAAAACTTTAACACATTATAAATGAATTTCTGCAGCACATCAACTCAGTCATTTGATGGTCCTGTGCCCTACTAAGGGAAAGCAAACCTTTTGTTGAGATTCTAGACCTCCTTCTGGAATTGACTGGTTGCCCTAATGCTTTGAAGGGTCCCCCCTTTCTGCTCCCAGCAATCTCCCTCTTTTCAAAACGCAGCTTGGCTGGTGAGCTCTCTTTTGCCAACCCCTCTGACAGAGTAGCCATGCCTCCCATCCTTCCATGCCAAAGGAAAAGTCAATCCTTACAAACACTTCCCGCCAGGCCATGTCACCAGTGAGGCTACTCATGGTAACAGGCACTAGCCAGGGACCATGGAGAGCATGCAGGACTAGACTTTGAGTAGGCTGCTTGTCTGGTCTGCGCACTTTGGAAAGAGCTGCATGCACTGCAAGTGGGCACAAGGAAAGCTCTCCTCTTTCAAAGAATATATCCAGCCGGATGCTGACAAGGCTGATCTGCTCCGCGCATCTGGATGCTTTGCCAAGTTTAGGAGCTGAGAGGTTAATAAAGAGGGTATTTGGCAGATGAAGTAGTTATTAATATGCCCGCTCTTCATGTACTCCCTCAGCATCAGGAACCAAAAGGATCACTGGTATTTAAGACATTTTGTAATTAGGCTTTAACAGTTTAAGACAAATCCAGAAATCACTTTTCATGTTGTCACTTCAATCCCCTCCCTTCAATCCGTAGGCTGAGGCAGCGAGAGCAATAGGCAGGCTGAGACCCACATCTCTGCTATTTCCTCCTTTATACCCTGCATTATGACAGCCCTATGGGGCCACCACCGACTTGTTGTACTGGCCCTTTTTAAGCATAACCAGATGTAGATGACTCTCTTTAATCATCCAATTACGTTCATGGTCTCAGACAACGTCCTTCCAAGAAGCAGAGAAAACTTCTTAAGAAAATTAAATGCCCATGCCACAGCCACTTGGATTTATCTGTGCTCTGCAGCACCGCATTGAGGAAAAAAAGAAGAAAAGAAAAAGGTTAATATTTATATAATCTTTGAAGTATTTTCAGAGAAAAATAAAAAAATTACCATTTTCTCCTGTCAACAGCACTCTTTCATTCCAGTCGCCTTTCCCATTTTTTTTTTTCAAAAAGAAAAAGAAAAATCCAGAGAGAGTAACAGTCCAGAGAAAATAAATAATATATAAAAAAAAAAGAGAGAGATCAGATATTCCTCGTATCAGTAAGGAACAGCCGGTATTACGCACGTAAGAACAGCTCCCCCTCCCCCCCTTTTTTTTTTAATAAACTCTCAGTGTACACACACCGTCTTTAAGAAAATGAAATCCTTTTGCTGTGGGCCACGTCGCAGGAAGAAATAGTCACCACTGCTGTTATCAGCGCTTTCAAGCTTTAACTCTGAATCAAAGGCGACAATTAATAAAGTCGCCCCCGCCAGGAATGGAAAGGAGGAAAGCTAAATATTTGAAACTGGGTGAACAAATGTCAGGGTGTTTTTAAATAAAATCCTTTTACAGTTATCACAGCGAGCAGACCTGATATCCCTGTCTAATTCAATTTCAATTTGCGCCCCACGGGAGATAGTGAAGAAAAGGTTGCAATGCTGTCTTTGGGTTGATATGTTCTTTTCTCCTTCAGGGAGCAGGAACTGGGGGTGGGGGAGAGGGAGGACGGGAGAGGGGGAAGCACAGACAGAGAGTAGGAGAAGGATTCAAATACCAGCAGAATATGAATTTCTTCTAGCTGGATCCTTCCAGAAGGCAGACGTGATGCGGGGAACGTTTAAAATGTTGGCTTGTTATGAATTCACCTGGAAAATACAGCCAGGGGAAGGAAACTACAGAAAGGGTGTTTGTGTGTGAATAAACATGCCAAACGGGGGACCTAAAGCAACTGAATTTTGAGACCAACAGCAGCAGCAGACTCCAGCGGCATCCCCTGCCTCTGGACCCCAGCTGTAAATCAGCTGGCTCTGCCGGCTACTAGCAGAAGCAGCCACAATCCTGCCACTTGCTTTTCTTTATAAACTTCTACATACCATTCCTATCCCTTGCAGCAAACAGGCCTAGTACAACACAGAAGGTTCCTGTTTGGGAAGAATGAAAGCACACTGCTGACCGCCATCAATGTCACGAGCTTCCCAGCAAAGAACTGGTTCCTATTGTATGGGGCAGCTAAAGCACTGTGCGACTCCAGTGCCTGATAACAGGATAGCGGAAGACACTTAACAGTGGGTTTGAATGCAACCTTCCACACTCAACAAGAACCAAAAATTATCCCTGGCTCATAGCAGTTTGGCCACCTCCAAGAAAAAGCCACTAAGTCTTTTGCAACCAAAACCATGGGCAAATTACATTAGATTTGCAATGGAACACGGGCAAATTATGTTAGCTTTGCAATGCAGGATGCAAGTCTGTAGCTTCCATATATGGCATAGAAAAGAAACAAGAACAACGTAGCAGGAACTCTGTGACACTCGCATGCCTAGAGAAGACGGCTGCAGAGAAAGGACTAGGTACTAGAGCACACCTGCATGGCACTGTAACAGAAGACAATGGTAGACCAACACTACCCAGAAGTCTAATGTAACATGGAACCTCTCCCCAATGGTCAGCACCAGTTTTGGTACCAGAATGCAGGAACCTCAGTTCCAAGACCAATTTTTGGCTCATACCAGCTACATTGTATTTAGAGTCACCCATGGTATCACTTCCATTGCATATTATAGGCCATAGCTCTACAAGACAGCCTCAACCCCAACAGATGTCCAAGCCAAACACCTCCATGGAACCACTGGGCACTTTCCTGAACTGGGGACAAAGTGAGGAATGAAGTGCCTGCTTAACTCTGGGCACGTACTTAAGTGCCAAAGTAATTAAATCAGATCCCCAGGTGCAGATCAGCCCTGTAAGATGCAAGCGAGGACTTAGAGTTAACTGTGTGATTAAGTGCTTTGATGAATAGGAGGCCCTGTGAACATACCTCTGGTACCTGATGACACTCAGCTGCCCCATTTTTCGCTGCGCATACATGGTTGATAACGAAGATTCAGAACCAGGATTAAGCTTTTGCCTGCAACTGTAAACATTTGC